ATTGGGTTTTCATTTTCTGAGGCATTGTTGACAAGAGGAATCGATGCAATTTTTGTTTAATGCTGTATGGCGTTGGTTTTGTACAGTATACATGTGAGTGTATGAAAATGAAAATTGTGAAAAAAAGAAATATCTTTACCTATTACCCATGAGATGATCAGCATTTCCATCCAGGAGAAGCACGACGTCTTCATTCGAAACAGCTGTTTTGCATTATCTATCATGGTTTCGTTGGGCTTTAGTTTGATGCCATCAAATCTGTCTGCTGCATTCATGACCAGGAGCCCAAGGAAAATGGTGAAAGAGGCCGCATGGGCCACAAATTTCATAAAGGGCCCACGCATGATTCTACCCAACTGCAAGACAAGTCAAAAAAGGAAACGTCTTTCAGATTAGATTTAGAGGAAACTGGGAAAAGTATCAGAAATGAGTGAACGCAACAAGTAAAATTATGAGCTAAGCCACATGTAATTTAGCATAGAGGCAGTCCTCGACTTACGACCAAAGTTGAACCCAACATTTACATTGCTAAGTGAGACATTTGTTAATTGAGTTTTGCTCCATGTTATGAGCTTTCGTACCATAGTTGTTAAGTGAACCATTGCAGTTTGTCAAGTTAGTAACATAGTTTTTAAGTGAATCTGGTTCCCCCATTAATTTCTGTTTGTCAGAAGGTCACATGACCCTGGGGATCACATGACCCCGGGACACTGCAACTGTCCTAAGTATGAATCAGTTGCAACCATTTGAATTTTGATCACGGGACCATGGGGAATGTTGCAATGGTCGTAAGTATGAAAAACAATCACAAGTCACTTTTTCCAATGCTGTTGTTAATTTTAAACTAAACAAACCACTGTAAGTTAGAGACTACCTGTATTTGGAGGGTTGGAGGACATTGTCAACTGCTACTTGGTATTTTTTGTATATGCTAGATTACAATTTCCATCACCATAGCCATGGGGTTGGGTGGAGAGAAGTTGTTTAACTGGGATTATGGGAATTGTACTCAAACACATCTAGATGGATCATGATCTAAAACAGGGCTGTCAAACTCAAGCCTGGGAGGTGCTTAGATCTGGCCCATGGTGCCACCCTGGAAACAGCGAACCCTAACCTGCCATGCTTCTGCCATGCTGTTCTTCTGCCAGTGAAAATGGAGCACTCCCGAGCTCCGTTTTCACTGGCAGAAGGTTGCAGGAGGCTCTGGCAGCCTAAAACGGAGCTTGTGAGCCTGTTTTCGCTGGCTGAGTGCTCGGGCCACTACCGGCGCCCCCGACAGGAGTGACGCCAAGCTGGCCATGCCCACCTTGGCTACAACCACCCTGGCTACACCCACTGCACCTCACCCCACCCCAAAGTCAAACACAATCCTGATGCGGCCCTTAATGAAATTGAGTTTGACACCCTTGATCTAAAACAACCAAGAGAGGATTATAGCACCTTAAATACATTTACTGAAGCTCATTCTATCAGAGATGTAGGTCATCATCACATTTCCTAAGTACACAGTGAATATGTTGCTCCTGTATATCCTTCATGGATGGATGCAAGCAGTGTGTGGGACTAACGTATAACTTTCCCAAATCAACAAGTCACGCTAAGCGCAACACTGTGCATTTATTCCAAAGGGAGACTCACTGCATTTTGTAAGTTTTATGTTTGCTCAGAGGGCTTCCTAAAATAGGTTTTGCCTTTCTTCAGGAAAATAGGCAGCTGCCTTCCATGGCCAGATGGCCACCGTTCCTAATCACTCTTACTAATGATCTGAGAAAGTTTTTGTTACAGCTGCCAAAAGGACAGTTAAAGACTTTGATGATTAAAATGCACTTTATAAAAAGCCTGGCTATATTCTTTTAAATTGACTGTGTATCTGTATTTAAATCTGTATAAATTGGAAGGAAAAACTAAAGCAGAGGGAATGAAGCATCACTATGGAAAAATTATCAAAGTTAAACAGGGTAATGGCGGAATAGCTAGAGAAGGATTAATTTGATTATACTTGCATTAATAATGCCAGAGATCTGTTAAATATGTGATAGAGACATGTAAAGAAACATATAAAAATAAATAATAAAAAAATAATAATTTGCATCACCTGTAGTAAATATCATACACGACATTTTGGGGATATGCTAGATTATAATGTCCATCTTCTACCAACCACCATAGCTATGGGGTTTAGTGGGGAGAAGTTGTTTAACTGGGATTATGGGAATTATAATCTAACACACCCAGATGCATCACGGTTTAAAACAACCAAGCCCCAAGGAAGCAGTTAGCTTCCTCCCATAATTGGGGCTTACCAGGGGTTGTAAAAATCTAATAGATACCTTTCACCCTGGCTTCGCTGATAACAGGATAA